ATCTGAATCTGAATCCTGTCCGCTATAAAATACCTGCAGATTGGGAACCCCTGCTCACAACCCACAGTACCAGAACCCATTAAATTCCTTCTATATGACAGCTGGTGATGGACATATAGATCTCCTCTGGTGAATTAGACAATGAATTTGTAACTTCAATACCACTTTGTGTCTTCCAGTAATTTGTCATTATATCCAGCCATCTTACAGTCCTCTAGGACATGTTTGGGATTTTGAAGTTTCTTTGGGGGGTTTTTTGGTGGTTTTTTTTTTTTTTTATACAGAGACTACAATTATTTGAATATGTAAGTATTTTTCCCCTTCTATATTTTATTTATGTTTTTTAAGATGTCAGATACAGTAACTATCTCACTGTACTTTGATATGACTTCATAGAAATTAACAACATTCATAGATATTTTATTAGGTACAGACACTTCTCTTCCTAAAAGACCTGTTTTTCTGATAGTCCTGAAGATATATCAGTGATTTGCTTGGAAAATGCTTTATAATAGTATAAATTTTATTCACTCCATTATGCTTCCTATAAATTATATATGTACTGAAAACAGTAATATGTTGACTACTAAAGTCAGCTACTTAGGGAATTTTTTTAATGAGCAACAGTTAAGCAACATGCAGCAGCAAAAGTTGTTATTTTCAGTTTTAATTACCCAAGGATATAGCCTAACAATGCCTTGATAAAGCTAATGGACAACATATTACTTATAATTGCTTATGAATATGCTTATGAATAATTACTTATGAATAATTGCCTGGGAAGATCATGGAACAGATCCTAGTGGAAGCTATGAAATGGCACATGGAGGACAGGGAAGTGATTCAAGACAGCCAGCATAGCTTCACCAAGGGTAAGTCCTGCCTGACCAACCTATTGGCCTGCTATGATGGAGTGACTGCATCAGTGGACAAGGGCAAAGAAACAGATGTGATCTATCTGGACTTCTGTAAAGCCTTTGACAGGGTCCCCCCCAACACCCTTCTCTCTAAATTGAGGACATATGGATTTGATGGGTTCACTGGCTAAGGAATTAGTTGGAAGGTCACAGCCAGAGGGTAGTGGTCAATGGCATGATGTCCAAATGGAAGCCAGTGACAAGTGGTATCCCTCAGGGGTCTGTACTGGGACCGGCGCTGTATAACATTGTCATCAATGACACAGACAGTGAGATCAAGAGCACCCTCAGCAAGTTTTCAGATGATACCAAGCTGAGTGATACGGTTGACATGAGGTTCAACAAGGCCAAGGGCAAGGTCCTGCACATGGGTTGGGGCAACCCCCGATATCAGTACAGACTGGGGAATGAAGGGATTGAGAGCAGCCCTGCCAAGAAGGACTTGGGGATACTGGTGGATGAAAAGCTGGACATGAGCCAACAATGTGTGTTTGCAGCCCAGAAGGCCAACCGTAACTTGGGATACATCAAGAGAAGTGTGGCCAGCAGGTCGAGGGAGGGGATTCTGCCCCTCTCTCTGCTCTGGTGAGACCCACCTGGACTCCTGCATCCAGCTCTGGAGCCCTCAGCACAGGAAAGACATGGACATGTTTGAGTGGGTCCAGAGGAGGGCCACAAAAATGATCAGAGGGATGGAACACCTCTCCTTTGAGGAATGGTTGAGTTATGGCTGTTCAGCCTGGAGAGGAGAAGGCTGCAGGGAGACCTTCTTGCGGCCTTTCAGTACTTCAAGGGAGCTTATAAGAAACATGGGAACAGACTTCTTAGCAAGGCCTGTTGTGACAGGACAAGGAGTAATGGTTTTAAACTAACGAAGGGTAGATTAAGACTAGATATACAGAGGAAATTTTTTACAATGAGGGTGGTGAAATATTGGAACAGAATTCCCAGAGAGGTAGTGGAGGCCCCATCCCTAGAAATATTCAGGGTCAGGTTGGACAGGGCTCTGAGCAACCTGACCTAGTTAAAGATGTCCCTGCTCACTGCAGGGGGGGCTGGGCTCCATGACCTGTAAAGGTCCCTTCCAACCCAAAGCATTCTATGATTCTATGACTCTAATAATTGTAATACTGCACAAGTAACAGTTATCTTTTCTTCAAGAACAGAGAATTAACAAGCTAATTTTCCATTCACACGTATGGACAACTACAGCATAGCTGAACACTCTTAAAAATTGGGGAAAATAAAATGCTAGATTCAAATTGAGTACGTGAATACTATTCTAGTGAAATTTGCACTGTAAATCAATATGGACTGAAGGAGTTAGGTCTCTTCTCCCTGCAGAAGAGAAGGCTCAGGCAGATGCTCATCACAGTATTCCAGTACTGAAAGGGTGGATACAAAGAGGACAAAGGCTCGCCCTTCACAAGGAGCCACATGGAGAAGACAAGGGGCAATGGGTGAAAGTAGCTGTCAATAAAAGAAAGAGTTTTTTTTCAGTGAGAACAATCAGCCACTGGAAGAACCTTCTGAAGGATGTGTTAGAGTCCTTGTCACTGTAGTTTTCAATGTGCAATTGGACAGGGTGTTAGATAATCTCATCTAGGTTCCATTTCCCAGAAATAGTTGGACTTGTTGATCTTTTGAGGTCCCTTCCAACCTGCACTGTTCTATGACTCCGTGATTCTGTGATACAGGATGGTGCACTCTTGTTTAGCCAACATTCATAGACAAACAGTGTTAAGATGTCAGTGATACTTCCAAGACAAATCAAGCTGAAAATAGCCTAAGACTTAGATCTAGAATTTCTAAATGAATGGCAAACTCCATATGACTTTGGTTTCTCTCTCATCTGTTACTTTCTTTCATCTTGCGCTAAATGACCCCACGTTTTTAAAACAATTAGAAATAGTTAACTTTTTTTCCATAAAAACAATTTCTGTGTATCTTACATGTATATACAATGTAGGTAATATGACTTTTTTCAGATATAGAGATACGTCCCTTTAAAACAGAATCACAGAATCACAGAATCACAGAATAGTAGGGGTTGGAAGGGACCTCTGTGGGTCATCTAGTCCAACCATCCTGCCAAAGCAGGGTCACCTACAGAAGGCTGCACAGGACCTTGTCCAGGCAGGTCTTGAATATCTCCAGAGAAGGAGACTCCACAACCTCCCTGGGCAGCCTGTTCCAGTGCTCCGTCACCCTCAGAGGGAAGAAGTTCTTCCTCATGTTCAGACGGAACTTCCTGTGCCTCAGTTTGTGCCCATTGCCCCTTGTCCTGTCACTGGGCACCACTGAAAAGAGCTTGGCCCCATCCTCCTGACACCCACCCTGCAGATATTTGTAGGCATTTATAAGGTATCCTGTCGCTTAATTCTTACCCATAAGCTCTCGACTCGTTCTTCATCCACCCTCAGGCAGGGCTTGATACATTCCGGTTACTCCCTCATATACAGAGCAACTCCACCACCTTGCCTTGTTGGCCTGTCTTTCCTAACGACTGTGTAGCCATCTATGACGGCACTCCAGTCATACGAGTTGTCCCACCATGTCTCTGTAATTGCAGTGAGACCATGGCCCTGTGATTGCACACAGATTTCTAATCCTTCCTGCTTATTGCCCATGTTGCGTGCATTGGTGTACAGACATTTCAGGGAGGAACTTGAGCATGCTGGTTTCCCTGGAGGGGTGCAAAAAAATCTGCCATGTCCATGCCCACCCTTAAGGTTGTTGGTCTTTTGCTTTTCAGCTTGGGATGCAGCTGAAGAACATTTGTCACTGCTCTGATTGCCCACACTTAATCGCCACACAGATGGGATGGCTTGAGCATTGAGACTTTGCCCCCCACTCCCCGAGTCCTTTAGTTTAAAGCCCTCCACACCAAGTTGCCTAGCCTATTTTCAAAGATCCCCTTGCCAAAGATGCCTAGTTTAAGAAACCAGTGGCCTGACATGCAATCTTAAATTAAGCCATCACAGAGTCTTTCTAGTTTGCACATGAACTGATGACCTTAGGTTCATTGAATTAGAAGGAGTGCAATGTTCACCTACTGTTTCCACACAGGAAGCAAACTTAGTGGTTTTCTTCACTTTTGCATTTGGATAAGTAAGTTTTACTATGGCATAGTGGATTTTAGACAACGATGATCAAATTACAACTAACAGCGCAGTTACTAACACCTAAGGGCTTACCACGGTGTACTCTTGATTACTTGCACATTTACGAGAGTTTCCTGGAGCCCAGGACTGGACACATTACTGTAGATGAGGCCTCACCAGGGCAGTGTAGAGGGGAAAAAAACAAATAAAAGAAATAAGCCAAAGCTGAGTTTCTCCCTTAATGAAATAAAATCATTTAAAACAAGAACTCTCTTAAGGAAATCCAGTTAGACGTACGTGGAACTATTTGACATTTCAGAAGCATTATGTCAACAGTAGCTGATCAGATTCACTTGACATGGTGGTGACAAAACTATCTCACAAATCAAATAGAGCAACTGTACTAATTATATACAATCATGTCCCAGAATTTTTCCCAGAAAAGAACTGTTCATTCAGTTTGAGCTTCTAGTTACTGATTATTAAGAACTGCACATTAATTTTAAAAATTACAGTTTACAACACTGTAATAGTTTATAGTTTATAAACTGTAAAAAAAAAAAACCAGTTTAGACTTACAAGAATAATAACGCAATATGAAAAAAGACCCATAAAACCAGCCCAGGGACTCTGAAAAAGCTATTTTCACCTGAAAGTTCTAAACATTGTTTCTTTAGCCTGAAAGAAAAAGTTTGAAATTTATATCTTAATTATGGCAAACATACAGTTCAATAATTAGATTTACATTTTATCTCATGAGATATGTTGATCTTCACAAATCTAACTATTCCTCTTTCTTGTTTTTATTCTCTAAGTAAAAGAGACATGCATTACTTACATCTTGCACTGACTTTAAAACGTGGACAGCTTGGGGATCAATCCTTTCAATCCAAGCACTTTGTTCTCTGCCCAGTATTCTGACCCACGCCATATGCTATTAACGATTTGATGAATGAAATGAAAGCATGTGACCACCTACCCACACACCTTGGCAGAGGTGCACTCCATACACGCCGACCACCTCCCAGGCAGGTAAGTTTATTAGCACCTTCCAGGCGATATCCAGGGAAACAAGAAAAGATCAAGGAATCTCCAACACCAAAATGAAAACCAACTCGCCTACTGAAGGCAGGAACACCAGGATCATCACATGGCTCCAGATCATATTCTACAGACAATAAAACATAATATATATATAAATGGGACAAGTGGTCCACATGGAAAAAAAAAAAATTACCAAATTAGTTGCATTGTGTCAGTATGGAACACTTGGGAAATATTGATTTCAAAGTTGTGTTCTCTACTAAAATCCGTACTGTTTCTATATGTCTGTTATGGCTATATGTATCTATTGTGTCCCACCCACACTATACTCTCAGGGCTGTAATCAGCTTGTACTGTTAAGTGGTTTACTATAATTTTGTTTAATTACATCCTTTGTATATAATTTTTGGTTCATTTCTTCTGAACTTCCAAAGAGCTATAGAAGTAAGACTTACAGTTAAATAAATTCATCATGTCATTAAGAGAATCTAAGAAAAAGTCAAACAAAGTGTCAGGTGAATGAAAAGTCATATGACCACATTTTCAAAAAGCGTGCTTGAATTTCCTGAGTAAAGCTACACTCTTAATCAGGCAATCTTTGTTTGCACGTCTTTTAGAAATCCTACAACTGTCAACCAACTGAAAACAAATATATATATATATATATTTGAAGAAGTATCAAGGGCCTAATTTTTTGTCTGTTTTATAACTATGCATCAGGAATAATTCAGATGGAGTCAGAACAGACTAATGGGAAAAAATAAGGGCTGTTACATATAGAGCAACTACACTGAACTCAGGAAATATCTGAGCCACACATGCACTCATCCTCATAGAGTATGCCGGGGAAGTATCACTGTACATTTGTCCTGCTCTGTGTGTTTTTTTCTTCCTTAGATATGCACTACTGACTACTGCTCAAGAAAGATGTTGAAAAAGATTAACTACATCCAGACCAAAAAGTCTGATTTTATATTCTGAAGAATATGCTCCAAATGACCCAAGAGATCACTTAGAAGAGAGACACTTCTGGTAAGAAAAGCCATTTTCTAAAACATTTACCTTGGAGGTTGGTGGAAGGTAGGGTCAAATCCACTTAGTTAGAGGAAGAACCCCATTTAATCAGGGGAAGAAACTAATCCAAAGTTTCTGAAAGAGAATCCTTCCCCACCGTAACTATCTCGTGGGAAGGTCCTGAATAGTAGAAGGAATCTATAAACCACATCAGTTTCTGCTGGCAAAAGTTGTAAGTTTTGAAAACACACTATCTGATACCTCTGCTCAGCACTATAAAGGCTGAGGTAGACACACAGAGATTCCCTGTGGCAGACCTTTAGGCATCTGGGAATTTTCCTGACAAATTCCTTTTAGGTGACATTCAAAACAAGTTAGGATCTTCTCACTAAATGAGAATTTTTCCCCTTGGATCCATAAAGATATTTTGTGTATTCTTCTACAAGTTAACTAGCCCTCTGCTCTTTTGAGTTATTTACCAATAAACTATCAGAGATCTCACTTAATATTTGCATTTACATTCCAAACTTGCAAAACTGCTGACCTCTGATTTTATTAGTCCAAAGTATCTAGAATGAATGTAACTCAGCATTTGATATGAGTAAATCCAACACTATTGCTCTAATCAGTGAGGTGTGGGGTTTTTTCTTCTTTAAATAAGCAAGCTAAATGAGATACATTATTCATAAACAGCATGTTAATCTGTAAATATTGCCATATTTCAATGAAATGTATTGGTTTTCAGTTCCTGAAAAATTAAATAAAAGAGTTGAATATATGAATTCCTTATGTACTGCTTCCGCAGAATATCCAAGTGCATGAGCATCTCAACTAGCAGTTGATTCATTCATATGCTTATCTGTAAATATTCTACATTCCAGTAATAGAGATAGGCAAAGAAAATTGTTGAGAAATTTATTTTATATGTCTTCTAGTTTTAAAAGATTGTAAATAAGAAGCAGTAACTTAAAATTTTCAATTATCTTAGAGAGGAATTTGTAAAAATTACCAGAACTACTTCATATATCAACATCTAATAAATCATTTTATTTTTATATATACATGTTTATTTCAAAAACAGTCTTCAATTTAGACTGCTCTGTGACTGAGTTAGTACACTACTGCTTTTTTGCAGTTGCTATGGTTCCTTTAGTAAAACATTACCAGTTAGTTTCTTTCTTCTGAAGCAGCACTTTCTATCTTTGTACTTTCTTCCCCTTAATTTTCCTCCGGAGTTCTTTTTCACACTCTTGATGGTTCTCTGAGAACAGGGGAAACTTCTCCTTAAAACACTCACATCACAAACATCCTTCTCAATATGTTAGCCACCTTTATAAACCTTAGCCAGTTTTCTACAATAAGAGACTATGCAATTACTTTTGACTTTTTCTACTGGTACTCCATAATGTTTCTGCTATCTGCAAGTAAAAATATTATCTGGAAACAGTTTCTGGATATTTAGCAGAACTGAATTTCTTACCTGAAAATGTTATGTTGAAGCCTTCATAAGAAATTGAAAAATCAGATATAAAGCGAAGCTGTGCAGTAAAATTTCCAAAGAGGCCTGCTTTAATTGTTGGGGGTAAGACTGAGCCAGTTAACCTGGCTACTGGTTCTGTGAAGCTGCCATCTTCAGCGATAAGCAAATAGTCATGAGAACTCTCCAGGTGAAAGGTATGAAAAATAAGCTGTACACCTTTAAAAATATTAAAAACAGGAAAAAGAAAAGCATTTAATAGGAAGTTTTTCTCTTTCTTTATACATAGGTGACACAGAAAGTAAATCTTATATTATAAAGAAAGATTTTTTTGAAAAAGCCACACATGGAATCAAAACCTGAAATTCAGACAATAAAACTTGCAGAGAGCACTTCGACTGAACCAATCAATATGTGCAGTGGGGTATTTGTTTAGCTCACTGTAAATCAATAGCTCCCATAAGAGACTTGATGGGATTCAATGTTCTTTGTATACAGCACTCTGAAAATCTATATTTGTATTGTGTAGATTTTATTCAAGTTCCTGTGTGTCTCTCTTAGTTATAATCTCTGCCATGATCTCATTATTAAACTAGGAGACATACTTTAATAACTGGTTAGAATTTTTAATTCATGTTTTATTTTCACATTTCCTCCAGAACAATTCTGGTTTTTACCCTAAAGTTCAAGGAAGTGCCCATATACAAGGACAAAGCAGATACAAGTTTTATGTATGGTCTTCCATATACACAGATTCGTATTTTCTGGGACCAGTCCTTTACTGAAGTCGTGATTGTTTTTTCAGTTGCCCACTTTCAGTCCAGCAATGAATTAAATTTTGAATTACAGTTAGGTTTTCAAGTACAATTATTTACTGTGAAGAAAAACATTCTTCTTAGCAAGTCTTCTCATATATTTTACACTTAAAATGCCATACGAGTTTTAAACAAAAATCCACTCCGTAAGAAGATTTTAAACAGTAGAAACTTCCAACATACTTCTCAGACTATCACACATAACAAAGACTTTACTTGTCATAGAAAGGAGATTAAAGAGTATTTTCATTATGTTTTTATTCAGTGGTATGTAACACATAATTAGTACTTCCTAGGCTTTTTTCCTTAGTTCTTTTACACATTTACCTAACAGGTAGGCTGCCAAGCTTAACTGTGCACCCAAATATTACCCTACTGTATATATAACATAAAGATACATACTTTGAGGGCCCTAATGATTTCAGTGTGAAATATAAGATTACTAACACACAGATCACACCTGCTCCTTCGCACTTCATAATGGAGAAGAGCTATCAACATGGTCCCAAAAGCTTGCAGTGAAAAATTTAGTACTATTTAACAAGTAACTATTATTTTCATATATTTTACCTCTCCCACTTTCTGTCCATTTTTATGAGATTAAAACACATTTCCTCTGATAACTGTTAAAAGAATCTTTCTTTTACAAAATAAACACAAACTAGAAACACCACTTTTGAAGACATTTATTTTGGGAAATTAAACTTCTTCCTCAAAAGAATGGCAGAAAGCACTGATTTAACTCAATTCACAAAGGCATTTCACTGTGCGTGCTTGAATTTTTTAAACACAGATATTACATATACATATGCAATTCATACTAGATTCTTACCTTTGCCATGTGACACTTCAATAGTCCAAGTGCAGTTTAAAGAGTTTGGATAAAAATCAGGAAAACCTGGAGAAAGAACAGTTCCACTCTTCCCATGAATATATCCACCACATAAAGCTTAACAAGAGGAAAAAAAGGCGAAAAAATTCAACAGAAGTCAGACAGAAGTCCTGGTTCTTCTTAAAAAAAAAATCTATTTCACTTTTTGAACTACACTTCAAATCGAAAATAGGGTCAAGTATTTAAATAAGAATTTAATGCATCCAAAGCCATGACATTCACATTTGACAACAATTTGTTTATTCTTAAATTAGTTCTTAAAAGGGAGTTTACTTTTCATCTACAGCCTCTCCTGTTAGTTAGAAGAATATAAAAACAAGTAAAACTTTGTTGTAGTATATTGCAAGTATTAATTTCTATTGTAGTAGCATTTAAGAAGTAAGATTAAAATTTTCTTTGTGAACTAACTCAAAGATCAAATATCTTGCAGCTATTTTTCTTGTACTACATTTTTAGAAAGGTAGATATTTAATTCTATTTTTATAAAACAAAAATATTTAAGAAACAAAAGGTATTTTTTTTCAAATAATAGAGAGGTTTGTCTCTATTTTATTTCTTCTACAATGTTCAGGAAAAGAAAGTGTGTTTTTCTCTCTTTCAAAGATTAATATTGTCCCATCATAATTAATTTATTTAGAACTGAATACTACGAAAGACACAAGAATCAGGTTAGAAAAAGTTTTACGTATACTAGCTTTTGCTAAACTAGGTGACTCAAATTTGCATGGCAAATTAATTAAAGATTAAGATTTGCATGCTGAATTACTCGCTGATCTTACAAATACACCATGGCTGTGCTTTTCTTTCATCTGTTGCTGTCTAGCTTTCTATGTTGTTGTTTTAAATTTTAATAAACTAAACATTTAACAATAAATCAACAGAGTACTAAGATGTTTATAGTCTTCTTCCTCACATAGAGTGATATACTTTGCCTTAAATTGGATGGCAAATATACATGACAAAATGTTCAACTTGCAGTACACGTATGTAAATGTATATATAAAAATATATATATACACATACAACATGATGGCATTAAAGCTAAAGTTCTTTTTTTCACTTCTTATTAGACTAAGATGTTTGTTAAAGTTATTAAGGTTTTTTGAATTGATGTATTATATGTATGTATAAATAAGTAGAAGGAAAGGAAATGTTTCTAGACTGGTTTTACCTGCTTATATGTATTTTTGCACTTCAGCGTGAATGAGAATATACGTGGATAAAACCACAGTAAATACATGGTTGATAATATTACTTAATAACAAATAACATAATTGCAGAGATCAAATTCATAATGCCATAAATGAACAGTAGTACACATTCATTTAAAATCCAGCTTATAGGAAAATTAGTGACGCTCAAGGTTCAACTGTGCCAAGAACATACTGTCTAAAATTTGATAGCAAAATACAATTGAAAACAATATTTTGCTTCTGTCCTTTTAAAGAAGGAACAAGCTGTAATGCTTACAAGGTAAGTTCGAATGGTAGATTAGTTACTTTGTAGTGATGAAGAGCTTTTAACTATATAGTAATCTTTCAGTAGTTTACATGCTTTGTGCATGGGGCCAGAAGGCTGTAGTGGGAATTAGCAAGCCTGAGTGCGAGTAACTGCTCAGATTTCACAAAACAGCTTAAAACAGAGTTAGAAACTAAAATACTTTGCTGAATCTAACTCTAAGTTTGCCCTTTGACATTGCACTGTAATCAGTTAAAACCTGGGACCTGAAAAGTGAGTTAGAAACTCACTACTTAAGTAATTCATTAAAGCAAGAACCATGGTTGGTATGGGCTTGGGTCTTCTCCCTTCATACATTTATCTTTCATCACTGCCTTAGAACACAGTTATGTCTTAAGAAGAAAGAGGCCTGATCAAGACAAACATGTTTTTAAAGATAATAATTTAGCAACCAGAAGGGAGAAAATGGCAGGTTTTAACAGAAAGTTTAATGCAAGCAACTTATGGAGAATTTTCAGAGATGCTGGGTTCTATCCCTATTGAAATAGGGAGCTACACTTGGATCTTATTTTCTGCAGTTTCTATCAAGGCATTTTGTAGCAACTATACAAGCATCTCACGAAAAAACTGAGTTGATTCTGCATTTCATAGAAAAGAACTTAGCAAAAAATCCATTGATAAAAAAGAGCACAGAAATATTTACTAGTACAGTTCAGGATTTAAAAAAAGTGTTTCATGAAAGCCCTAGACAGTTTTATTTTGCATATCTCCTAAAACAATTAATGAAATAACAAATATTTCAAGACAAAAATGTCTCAAGAAAATTAATTACATAGGCTGATCATGATCTGTTTTAGTATTGAGTACCCTGAATTCTGAGTAATCATTTTGGTATTCAGTATTCCAAGTTTACAATGTAAGTTAAGTTTATTGGCTTTGCTTGGAAAATACTAGTTGCATGGCATGATTTTCACTCATAGTTGAACAGTGGCACCCTCTGAGAATTCTAATTTTTCTATTGGTGAATGTATACCTGTAAATTTCACTGCACATTACAGTACTTGACTGAAAGTTGATACAGAGATGTAAAGCACGGTTTTTATTACAGTAAAATCATTTTTGAAAACTGTGGATCTTGGTGTAATTGAAGGGAGGTAGTAGCAATGATAAGCTAAATTAGTTCTCAGAAACAGGAGATTAACTTTCTTGGACTTTGAAGCTGGCATCTGAAGAACTTGACACTTACCATCACAGCTGGGTAACGCATGATTCCACTGATGGTTTCTTTCACATATGAGTGGTTCTTCATCACTCAGAGTATATCCTGGATCACAGCTAAAAGTTACTGTGGAGCGGATATTAAAGTTGTTACCATGGCGATGGCCATTCACAGGAATCCCTGGGTCGAGGCAGGAATCTGATTCCAGAGTAACACCTGAAACAAACAGATTTATTTTGTTTATTTCCCCTTTATTTTTCGGATAGTAAACAGAAAAAATCCCAAACAAAACACAAAATGAGTAAGATGGGAACAGACGTGGGAGATAAAGCACTTTCTCCAGCTGTTGTCACTGACTAAGAGCACAGATTTTCAATTTTCAATCTCATAGAATAGAGAAGCCCAAATTAAGTAGGAAAAGATTGGAGCTTTAAAGTATATTTTATCAAACAATGAAAAAAGACCCAACAAAAGCACTGGACATCTGAAACTACAGGAAGATATTAAGCTTCAAAGTATGAATACAAATTCTGCTAGTGTATAAATCATATTTGATTATTCCATTTCATCTATTCAATTTCTGATATTGCAGGACAATTCAACTTTCCTCTGTCATAGTAATGGTTCTTTGATTTAGCAAAAAATCAGTGTTGAAAAACTGCAGCTGATGAACTCAGAAACCATTTGTTAATTCTTGTAGATATCATCCTGTGCATCAAAAATAGAAAGACAATGAACATAGCTTACATAACTGTATAACTCACATCTGACAGAAGAAGTCTTTAGTAATTCTGTCGTATAGCAGAGACTGAATAGTGTTTGGTAAATAAACCTGGAGCTATACACTGAACAAGGAAAAAAAAAACCCCAAAATTACCAAATGGAGGCTCATTAACTGAGCATTATCCATTATGCTTATAGTGACAGCAAACGATTGTGTAATTTAATCACGTAATGAGCTATAATGGATACATAGACTCTCTATTGGGATGAAAGGAATTTCTTTTATTTTCTGTTACTATGTGTTGTGAGTTGACCTTGACTGGCTGCAGTCCCTTAACCAGCTGCTCTCTCACTCTCCCCCTCAACAGTACAAGCGGAGAAAATAAGATGGAAAATAAGACGAAAAAGTTCATGGGCTGAGATAAAGACAGGAAGATCACTTGCCAATTACCTTCACAGCCAAAACAGCCACAATTTGAGGAAAAATTAAGGAAAAATTAATTTAATTTATTGTCAATTAAAAATAAGAATAGGATGGTGAGAAACTCCACCATCACCCCTGTAGCGGGTTTGCATGGCAAGGTTGTGGTAGTGGGGGGGCTATAAGGGTGGCTTCTGTACGAAGCTGCGAGAAGCTTCCCCCATGTCTGATAGAGCTAATGCCAGCTGGCTCCAAGGCAGACCTGTCACTAGTCAAAGCCGAGACCATCAGTGATGGTGGTAGCGCCTCCTGGATAACTTATTTAAGAAGAGGAAAAGAAAAACCCCGTGTAACCGCAATTGCAGCAGGAGAGATGTGTCAGAATATGTGGGAGAAACAACTCTGCAGGCACCAAGGCCAGTGAAAATGAGAGGGAGGAGATGCTCCAGGTGCCGGAGCAGACATTCTCTTGCAGCCCATGCTGAGCACCATGGATTAGGCAGGCTGTCCCCCTACAGCCATGGAGGCCCACAGTGGAGGAGATATCCACCTGTAGACCATGGCAGACCCCACGCTGGAGCAGGTAGATGCACCCAAAGGAGGCTGTGAACCCATGAGAAGTCCATGCTGAAGCAATCTCCTGGCAGGACCTGCGGACCCATGGAGAGAGAAGCCCACACTGGATCAGGTTTCCTGGCAGGACTTGTGACTCCGTTGAGAACCCATGCTGGATCAGTCTCCTCCTGAAGGACTGTACTCCATGGAAATGACCCACTCTGGAGCAGTTCATGAAGAACTACAGCTCATGGGAAGGACTCACATTGAAGAAGTTCATGGAGGACTGTCTCCCGTGGGAGGGACCCTACCCTGGAGCAGGGGAAGAGTGTGAGGAGTCCTCCCCCTCAGGAGGAAGGAATGACAGAAACAATGTGTGATGAGCTGACCGCAGCCCCCATTCCCTGTCCCCTGCACCCCTCAGAAGAAGGAGGTAGAGAAAATCAGGACTGAAGTTGAGCCTGGGAAGAAGGGAGGAGTGGAGGGAAGGTGTTATAAGATTTGGTTTTATTTCTCATAACTCTACTCTGATTTTAATTGGCAACACATTAAGTTAATTTCCCCGAATCAAGTCTGTTTTGCCCATGATGGTAATCGGTGAGCGATCTCTCCCTGTCCTTATCTCAAGCCTCTAGTCTTTTGTTATATTTTCTCTCCCCTGTCCAGCTGAGGAGGGGGAGTGATAGAGCAGCTTGGTGGGCACCTGACATGCAGCCAGGTCAGGCCAGCACACACTCTTCCTTCCCAGCCTCAAATGCCCTCCTCCATTCGCAACTTCTCTATCTATCTCCCCACCCATCCCCAGGCAGCATGGCAGGCATGGGGAATGGGAGTTGTGGTCAGTCCGTAACAGCTCCTCTCTGCTGCTCCTTCTTCCTGACACTTTTCCCCTGCTCTAGTGTGGGTCCTTCTCACAGGCTGCAGTCCTTCAGGATAAACCTGCTCCTGCATGGGCTTGCACAGGCTGCATCTTTCTTCAGGGAATAACCACTTGTACTTGCACAGGCTGCAGTGTGGATAACTGATCCGCTGTAGTCTCTTGCATGGGCTGCAGGGCAATATCTGCATGGAGCACCTCCTTCTTTGTCCTTGGCGTTTGTAGGATTGTTTCTCATTCTTTCTTTTCTTCACTCCTCACTCACCTATGCTGCATTTTGTCCTTTTTAAATATGTTATGACAGAGGTGCCACCAACCTGGCTGATGGGCTGTGTCCTGCAGTGGGCCCATTGGAGCCAGCTGGAACCAGCTGTGTCTGGCATGGGGCAGTGGCCTCTTTTCACAAAGGCCACCCTAGCAGCTCCCCTGTAACCAAAACTTTGCCTCCTACACCTGATATGCTGTGTCATGTGACTGGGAATAAGAATGACTGAGGTAGCACTTCTTCAGGTTTGGGAGGGATGGGAACATTGTTACTTCTGAAGCTGAGCGTCAGAAGAAGAATTCATTCTCATCAGAGAATTTGAGCATGTCCAAAGGAAATCCTTTAAGATACTGGCGGTGGTGGGTAAAAAGATGACAGATTATGGACACAGCCAGCATGAAGCCTGTGATAAAAGAAAAAAAACTAGAAGCTGACTGAAAACAGCAGGTAGCAAACACATTGTCAAGCCTCAGAGATAACAGGGAAACACAGAGGAGCCTCTGTAGAGTTTTTTGAAATCTAAAAAGCTACAGACTTGTTAAAAAAATCTGCCCACAAAGGGACAGGAAGTATATGTGTCTGGGAGAACCATTTATAAACACTTTAATGTTTTTTCTCAGGCAATTATTTTGATCTACTTTATTTTGAAAAATTATCTGTTGTGTGTCTGTTTAAATAATACTCAACTTTGAGTTTAGAATTCCTTGTCAACTTCTGGGATAAAATCTAGACATACCCACCTCAAAACTCTGGCACCCACTGCATTTACTTAAGCATCTTCACATTAATTTTCATATTAATTTCAGTATTTTGATGCTGACTTGGAAAGAAGGTTGTAAGTTGGCACTATTTCATATGGGTGGTGACATCACTCATTGATACTGTGAGAGCCTTAAGCAAGATTAATTCTCCTGAGGTCTTTAAAGGTTTTATTTGCTTCCTCACAGGTGACCTGAATTTCTAGCATGACTCTTTCCAGTCTACTTTTTTGCCAAAGTTCCTTCCTCAAAGCCAGCTGCTGACAGCACAGAATTCTCTACGGCAGGGCATTCTGCATTTCCTAGCTCCTTAGCCCCCTAAACACATCCTGAAGGTGTTGGTCCTCTCAGCTGCCTGTGTATCTGTACCTGTTCCTGTGGAAGTTGTACTCTCAGTTTACTGCTTCTACCCTGCTTTATTTATCCAGGACTACCACACAAACTTAGGAACAAAGCAGAAGGAGTTAAAAACTAAAGAAAAAAAAATATTAAGTCGTAAAGTAAAGGTTTTAGAATTATAGATATGAGGGTTGGAAGCAGGACTACAAACAGAAATATCATAAATAATGACTCTAGCTTGCACAGAGAAATGTTCCCTGTATCCTCCAGCTATTCTTCTAGATAAATTAGAATTCACATTCGAAAGTTTATGATCTAGTTTTCACAAGGCATCCTTGGCATACTTAAATTCCAGATGAAGAAGTTTCTTCTAGACTTGACCGTGTGCTCTTAATAAAGTCAAATTTAGGAGAGCACTTAGGTGCATATTATTTTTGTTAACGAGCTATGGAAGTCATTTGGAATGGCAGAACTAGCATGTTCTGTCCTGCTCTGTCCTGCTCACTGCTGACAGGGAACACAGGTGTTTTAGCAGAGTTCTGAACTGAGCTCCAGGACCAGCTGCAATGCTTAGCTACTAGGCACGTAAGACTGCCTTCCCTCTTTCCTGCTAAGTCACCCCTTTTCTAGACTAAACACGTACAGACCCTTTAATGACTCCATATGTGTCATGTTTTCCATGTTAACCTCCTACTTTTTTTAAACTGCGTCCCAAACTGGACACAATATTCTCACTGATCATCAGCTGAAGTGAAAGAATTATTTTCCAAGTTCTAGATAAAATAGTGCTGTAAACAGAAATTGTCTTCTCTGTAATTCTTTCTTCTTTTCTTTTTTTTGATGATTAACTACAACAGCCAGCAGATTTGACTTTGCATTACTACATTTTTCTCTAGATTATTTACGTTCTGTGTAAAAAACAGCCTTTTCTATTGTATCTCTATTTTGTATTTGTGCATGTCATTTCTCCTTCACCATTTATGCTTAGCATGTCCTTCTATAGAATTAGATATTTATTTATTTTTATTTCAGATAATTTCTTCAGTTCATCTAGTTTTGAATTCTAACCACCTCTCCACCATAGTGCTCGCTATAACTGTAGGCTGGAATCATCCTCAGAATTTGTAAGTGTGCTTCATATATTATCATCAAAATTGTTAATAAAAATATCAGATAGCTTTGAATTTAGGCCAGATCACAGTAGGATCCCTACAAATTCGAGTTAGGCAGTGAACTACCAATTGTAGGCTACTCTTTGCATAAAAGTTTCCAAAATTG